GCTCTTCCGATCTCCCCAAAACCCCAAAACCCCATTTCATTACTGAAACTTTATAATAGAGAAAAAGAATTAAATAGTTTATTTTCATCAGACATGGATTGGCTTATCGTATGCAGCCATGCATGCCTCTTTGAATGCCTCACTGAGAGTTGGGTGAGCGTGGCAGGTTCTAGCAATATCTTCAGCTGCAGCGCCATACTCCATACCAAGAACTCCTTCAGCGATCATCTCTCCAGCATTTGGACCAATAATATGGACTCCTAGAATTTTATCAGTGTCTTTATCAGCCAGAACTTTAACTAGACCCTCTGAGTCATTGTTAGTTCTTGCTCTGCTGTTTGCCATGAATGGGAACATGCCCTTGTTGTATTTTATTCCCTGTGACTTAAGTTCCTCCTCAGTGTAGCCGACTGAAGCAACTTCTGGATAAGTGTAGATAACTCCTGGAATAGTGTGATAGTTAACATGACCTGCCTCTCCGAGAATTTATTCAACTGCTGCGATACCTTCTTCCTCAGCCTTGTGAGCAAGCATGGCTCCCTTGATAACATCTCCAATAGCATAGATGTGTCCGACCTTTGTTTGCCAGTGATCATTAGTATCGATTCTGCCTTACTTATCGGTTGAGAGACCAGCTTTCTCCAATTGAAGTCCACCAGTGTAAGGTCTTCTACCAGTAGCAACAAGAATGATATCACTTTCAAGCACCTACTTAGCACCACCTTCTGCTGGCTCTACTTCAACCTTGCATCCACTAGCACTGCCTGATCCACCAACAACCTTAGTTTTTAGCATGAATTTCAAACCTTGCTTTTCAAGAGTTTTTCTGAAAGTACTGGTCAATTCAAGATCCATAGTTGGGCAGATTCTATCCATATATTCAACAACAGTGACTTGAGATCCGAGTCTTGCATACACACTTCCCATTTCTAAACCAATAACACCACCTCCAATAACGATAAGTCTCTTTGGAATTTTCTCAAGAGATAATGCTCCAGTTGATGAAACTACGTATTTCTCATCGACTGGGATAACATTGCCTGGAAGTGGAGATGGCTCACTGCCTGTAGCAATAATCACATTCTTTGCCTTGATAGTCTCCTTTCCTCCGTCAGCAAGATCAACTTCAATCTCGTTGGGTGAAGCGAATTTACCGAAGCCCTTTAGGTAATCGACCTTATTTTTCTTGAATAAGAATTCAATTCCCCCTGTTAATCCCTTGACTGCCTTTTCTTTTTGCTTCATCAATTGACCGAAATCGATTGACACATCCTTAACAACGATTCCCAACTCCTTGAAATCATGTTAAGCTTCGTGATACTTGTGAGTTGCATTCAAGAGTGCTTTTGATGGAATACATCCGACATTTAGGCAGGTTCCTCCGAGAGATCCTCTTTTCTCAATGCAAACAGTCTTGAGACCCTTTTAAGCTCCCTTGATAGCGGCAACGTATCCTAAACGTTTATAACTATTAAAAAAATTACCTCCTGGACCTCCTCCAATAACGACTAGATCGTACTCTTTGGCTGAAGCAAAGCATCTTCTAGAGATGAAGAAAAGATTTTGACGATATCCTAAGGCAGTCTTGTAGAGTTGCATTTTAGATTTATTATAAATTAATAATCATTAATCTAAGTCACTCCCTGTTAACGATAGATATGATGCTGCTGGGGTTTTGGGGTTTTGGGGTTTTGGGG